CAGTGAAAAATACCGAATTTCTTTCTCTTTTTACATGATTTTTTGATTTAAAAAAAAAAAAATCTTGCAAGCATAAACATTCACATAATAATTTAATTAATGCAAATTTCGTTTAATTTAGTTCTACAACTTTACACTTAATTAATAATTTATTTAATAATTAAATTTAACTTATAATAATTTGGATTATTTCTTTTATAAAATTCCTTTTTCTCTTCTTTCTTTTTCTTCCTTACTCTATGACTATTAACAAATGATTTATAAACGTTATGATATATTTCGATGATGATGATGATGATGATGATGATGATATATTTTTGATGGTGATGATATCATGATGATATAATCTTGATGATGATGATGATGGTGATGATGGTGACATATTTTCGATGATGATGATGATGATATATTTTGATGATGTTATGTTATTCCGATGAAATATTTTTGATGGTAACGATATCATGATGATACAATCTTGATGATGATGGTATATTTTGATGATAATGAAATGATGATGATGATGATGATATATTTTTAATGATGAGGAGATCATGACGATATATTTATGATGATGATGGCATATTTTAAATTATGATGATATATTTTTGATGATGATGATATTTTTGATGATGATTTATTTTTGGATAATTTTCAAAATGTTAAATCAATCATGTCATCAACATTTCCTCAAATTGCATCTATTATCATCGAAATCGATTTTATTACATCCCAAATTTTTCAAAATGTGCATTTATTATATCCCAATTTTTCAAAAAAAAAATGCATTTATTACATCCCAAATTTTTTAAAATTATTTTATTAAATTGGAAAATTTTTCTTTCTTATAATTAATTTTTGCAAGCTGTAAAATGGATTAATAAAAATTAATAAAAAAAAAAGTAGAAAAATGATACTCCATCTTTAGCGCAATTCATGCTAATTGCTTGCATAATTTCCATATCAGAATATCCCATATCTTTAGCGAGGCGCAATTGTTCGCTTATTGTTAATGCATCACTTTCTTCAGCCATTTGTTCACTCCAATTAACTGCAAATATAATAAGTATTATATGTAATAAGTTTGTTTACCGTAAAAAATTCAATTATTTGAAATTTTAATTAATTCATTAACAATAATAAAGATTTATTCGATTATAATTGAAAATCTGAAATTACTTAAATAGTTTAAGCATTATATTACATATTAGTTAAAGCAATCAGTTTTGCTTTTTGAAATGACTTTTTTTTTCAACTGATCAATTAATGAATCGATTAATTAATCAGGTAATAATCAATTAAGAAACCATCCATTCATTCATTCATTCATTCATTTAGTCATTTATTTAAAAATTGCAGCAAGCAAATCTGAAACAAATCAGTTACCTGATAAAAGAAATGATAAATTACGATAACATTTTATCAACTATCATTTATTCATTTTCCCTATGAATGCAAAATTTTAATCATCACTTCATTATTTACCATAATGAAATCCTTTCAAATTATTTTGTTAATTTTTTATGGTATTTTGAAAACAAGAAAATCATCATTCATTCATATAGATGATTTTC